GATTAAGTAAAGTAGAAGTGGAGAATTGCCTAGTTGGGCCCAGGAAGGAATTCTCAGAGACAAGGACAAAGAACTTATGGGGCATGTCTACACAAGACATTTACTGCACAGTTGACTAATTAGCTGCACAGTAAACATTGCACATCTACTCATGTGCCCCTAATAGGCCAGAGTAAACTAAATTTACTCTACCAGCAGGATCATACTTGTAAACACAAGTATGATTCTGCTGTAGTTTTTTTTGTTTTGTTCTTTAAACTCTGCAGCAGTGAATGTGTAGACGCTGCCCCGGCTGGCTGGGGCAGGAAGGCGCTTCAGTGCAGGGGCTGCTTACTGACTAGCCCTGCACTGAAGCACCCTCCTGCCCCAGCCAGCCCCACCACAGCACATTGAGCCAGGGGGAGCAGCCCCAGGCTGGCCTGCCAGCTGGGGCTGCTCCAACCCAGCTCAAAATGCTGCACATGAATAAGCTCTGGAGCTTAAATGACATGCCCGGGAGCAATAAGCTCTGGAGTTTTTTAATGCACATTAACAGCATATGTAGATCCACCCATGAAGCCATATCTGACATGGAAGACTTTCCAGACATCATTCAGAAAGGTTTGCAAAATAATTATACACCCAATGAAATAATCAGGCAGTAGGTTTAAAACAAAGAAAAAGAAGCACTCCACTCTCCCACCCAACCATTTTTTTAAACACACTCCATAATTAACTTGTAGAACTCATTACCACTCATTTAAAAGGGAGTAAGAAAGGTGTATGGTGAATGGTTCTCTCAGAGATCATTAAAACCAGCAGTCCGGAATATAATCTTAGACTCTGGACATACCCAGAACTATGACTAGTTGTCACTGGGAATGCATGTTGGGACAACACTTCATCCACGCCCTCTTGCTCATGCCCTAAAGCATCCACTACTTGCCAGCATCAAACACAGCATAATGGGTTAGATGGACACCTGGTCTGATCCAATACAGCAGTTCTCATTTTCCCTAATGATCTTTTCCATTCTTCAATCTGACAAAAATACCAGTGGTAAAATTTTGCATGCATCTTGGAGATGACATACCACCACAATACCTTGATGGGGAGACTACGCTCTAATTTTGTGTTCTGCTTTACACCTGCTATTGACTGCGTATCTTTATCTTTCTGTTGCAGAAAGCCTGCAAGGGCACATCATCAGCAGCATTTAAAAAGCATCCCACCCCTTCCCATAGGCAGAAAAGCCTCCTTTAATTGACATTAACTAGACCTTTTCAGGGACATGGATCCAATAGCCAGTGTGTAATTTGCACTCAAAATGGCAGAGAGCTCATTGGGTGTGAGTAGAAAGGAATATTTGCCAAGACTTTTTCCTGTATATCAACTGTTAGGTATTCAAGAGAACTATTTGGAAATTGGGATAGATCTAGGAGGGAATCTGTAACAAACAAGCACTGTTTTTTGAGAACCCTGGGTATTGCTCAAAGGTTCATGAATAGCAGGAATTAAATTTATCACTAGCATAATTGGGCATAATTATGTCAAATGACTTGCACCCCTGTCCTTGAAGGGTGAATTTGGACGCAGAGTAAAACAGGATATTCTGGAACTTGTTGCCTTCACAAGCAATCAAGAATACCCAATTAACACTACGCTACATTTTATTAAAATGACTATAGCTCAATGGATTTGTGAGTGAAGACCAACCTGGTGGCATCATTTCTTGTCTAGAGAACTGTATCTTCAGGAACCAGGACCTGGGATCAGGGCCTGCATTTGAAACAATTTGATTTATTCTCTGCACAGGAAGAAGAACCAAACAGATTTTCCCATTTTCAGGGAAACCATTTACCTATTGAATCCGAACATTGGCTACAGCCACTTCCTTTACTTAGGTAACCCATACGACTACCAGGTGGCTCTCCATCCCCCTTGCTCATGACTTGACCACAGCCTCCTACACCTGTTGACTTAACCAAACTGATAGTTTGCAGAATCTAAAACCAGAACCTGTGATTTTAAGAGCATGAGTTTTTATTCCTTGAGCCAAGGACCAGATCCATTAGCTTAAAGGCCATATTAGACCAAAACTTTTATGGAGACCTACCTATACAGTAATCAAGCCACTAGAGGGTGAAACCAAACCAAAATATTGTATTTACTTGCATATCACACATCAAAAAATAAGCCCTCCAAAACGGGGTATGTGTCTTTAAGCAGGGAAGCTGATTTCTGTGCCAGAATTAAAACACAGGGATGCTGTAATGGTTGCTGGTCTTTCCCAGCCAGGGAAGGGGGAATGAAACATACTGTTCAGCATCATAGTTTTATCCCTTTCAGAGTCACTGCTGAGTTGTTGGCAATTTTTGGCTGAGCAAAAGTTCTTTTTTCTTTATTGTGCCTATCCAAAACATGATGCATATTACAAGGATATATAGCATGTTAGCATTGTCTAAGGCCAGAGGTTTTCAACCACCGGGCTAGGGCCTGGTACTGGGCTGCGAAGGGTTGGCTGCCAGGTTGTGGCACAAGCCCCCTGCTCGGACCCCCATCTGTCTGCCCGGGTGAGCAGCTTCTGCTGCCGACAGTCACATGCGGAGTTAAAGCTTGACAGTGGGGCAGCCCCGGGAGGAAGGCAGCTGGCTCAGTGTGCCTCATCCCACTCCCGTGCTGGTCCACAGGTGGGGACCACTGGTCTAGGCTTACTTCATCCATTAACCAAACTCCACTGCTTTTCTGGGCTGAACACCTAAAGATAATTCTGCTTATTTATACCAAACACCCAACCATAAACAAATATACTTTCTTGGTTTTCTTCTTAATAACCTCACTCCGTTTTATACTGCCTTTTGCTTAGAACACCATTTTCACAAAGTCAAGCTTAAAGGGAGCCATTTTCAAGAAATGTATTAGCCAAAATTTTCGGAGGGTCTAGATCTAAAGTCCTCTCCCCCTCAGCTGTCTTGTGTTCTATGCTGTTTTCAGTACTGACAGTCAAACTACATTCTCTAAACAGAATTACCATTTTAGGAGATTATCCTTTCAGGATTGTTATTGGAATATTTTTGGCAGGTGGGTCTTCATGTTTGCCCCAAAGGGAGGAGACAGGAGTGTTAAATTACAAAACACCTGTCTTTAGCGAACAGAAAATGGCATAAGCAACTATTTTGGTAACGTAATTTTCAGTAACATTTTATTTTAGGCTAGAAAATCTTCTTGCCACTTGTTCACCTCTCTTTTCATTCATTTCATCCAGACATTACCTTCATAAATCATGTTGCCAATTCTTACAACTGTCTATATATGGTGAGATTCTTGGGATAACTTCACTAGATTATTTCCTAAAAGGAGCGTGAAAATGATGGAAGAAATCTGTTGAGTAAGTTTGTTTGCTTGTGCTGTCTTTTGCTACAGAAGTGAGCAACAATGGCAAATAGTTCTTGCACAAATGTATGTCTCTGTAATCCAGTGGTGCTGGAGATGAAGCAACGTTATTTTGTGAAAGTAAGTTTTATTTCAGTTTTGTTTTTACTTTTTATTAATGGAGGAGTTGTAGTATTGTTAAGGCACAGACCCAGTAGTCAGGAACCCTGGGTGGTTTTGCTCACAGATTTTTTAAAATCTTCCTGTGTGACTCCTTGGGCAAGTTATTTAAATTGTAAACCTTCCTTCCCATCTACAAAGCAGTGGTGCTACCATTTACTTAATTCATACACTTACATGGGAGGCTTAAATAAAATGATCGTAAAGTACTTGTTTATTATTAATTTGCAAAGTTATTTCTTACCTTAAATCCTAGTTTGACCTAGTTACTATTCATTAAAACAATGAGTGAGCGCTTTGTTATGTATTTTTTAGAATTGAATTTGGCTTAAGTTTCTGTTTTTATCTTCAGCTTGATTACCTTTTCCCCCTCCTTGAAATATTTGTAAAGCAAGAGAAAACAGAGTGAGGTGTTCTAAGGATTGATGGATTCTACTACCTTATTTTTGCTAGCAGTAGAATGTATATCCCTTCAAATGAGACTGATGCAACTGAAATCAGATCAAAATTACAGGTAAGAATTGATGCTCAATCTTTTAAAGCTCTTCC